GCTGGGCCCACGGCCGATGTTGTCCGTGTGGGGCCCCAGCTTGCGCCTCGTTAGTTCTGAGTAGGCAACGCCCAGCGTCACCGAGTGGTTGGACACACGTACCTCCCAGTAGTGCTGCCCGGCCTGGAAGCTCTGGGCACACTGCACTTGCCAGAGCTCGAAGCTGCCTGGCCCATCTGGGCCCCGGGGCTTGCGACAGTGCTTTACCTGCCGGTCCTGCTGAGACAGGTAGAAGTGACGGTTGGCGCTGATGGGGTCGAAGGTCAGGTTGCGATAATCTGTTGGGCAGAGATGGACGGAAGGTGAGCGGGCAAGGGTGCCTGTGCCTGGCCACCATCCTGTCCCCAGAGGGGAGAGACAGCAACTGAAGGTCCACGGGCGGATCGCCAGACATCTGCCGGGGCGACTGCAAGCTGAGTTAACGTGGACATCATCTCAGCATCCGACCCTCCATGCAACCCCTGAGGTGGAACCTTCCATCAGCCTTGTTTCACAGATGAGAAAACGGAGGTTCAGAAAGGTCACCTAACTTCGTAAAGTGGAAGAACTGTGATCAGTCCCAGATTTGTGTGCCCAGAATCTCCTTAAACTCTACACGGGCTGCACGTGTAAGAGGTGTGCATCCTGCAACAGGTGTGCAGAGGGGCGAGGCTAGCCCCAGGGAGGGGAGGGAAACAGACTTCCTGTACAGAGCAGTCATAGCACGTGCCGTGCACACGCACAGACCCACGTGTACACACAGCGCACTCACACGCACACGCTCACACAGGTGCACACACACATGCGATGGGCCTTCTTACTCTGCCAGAGTTTCCTCCTCAGTGGACAGACGAGGCTCGCGACTGGTGCCGGGGGACCCGGGGCCTCTAGGGGGCAAAGCAGTGTTTTAGGGGAGTGACCTGGAGGGGAGCTCATGGGGGCTGGGCCCTGACTCCATTACCACCCCAGTGGGAAGAACAGCTGGGCCCAGAGGGGTGGAGAGAGATCTGGGGTCAGCCTTACCCATGGAGCCAAAGTCAGCAGCCTCGGCTGGTGCTCCGGGGTGGCCCCCCTCTTCCAGGAGGAGGGCACACAGCTGGCTCAGGGACTCCTTCAGGCCGCCCAGCTGCTGATCTTCGTCCCAGTGCGGGAGAGTCAGTGGCCCGAGCGGGCCTGGGGGCGCCAGGAGCTGTGATTCCTGAGCCCCGGGGACAGCTGCAGTAAGCCAGAGCACGAGGGGCAGGCACCCCGGTCCCCACCCTGCCGCCCCAAGGCCTGGTACCTGGAGGAAGGTCCGGTCGTCCAACTGCTCCAGGAGGTTGCGAATCCTGTGGTCACAGCAAGACAAGGCCTCCAGGTGGCCCTGCAGTCGCTGTTTCTCGTCCCGGGCCTGTTCCAGCGCCTGTGTCTTGGCCACCTCGATGTTCCTCAGGGCCAAGTCCCGCTGCATCTCCAGGGCCTGCAGCAGGCGGTTGAACTTGCCAGAGATCACGGAGGTCAGGGTGCAGGCTGAGCTCTGGGTGGGCACAGGAGAAGTCGAGGGCAGCCAAGTCCCTGGGCTGCCCGCTGGCCTGAGGGGTGGGAATGTGGGGAGCCATGGTCCCTGGAATCTCTCCCTCTGTTCAGCCCTTCCTTTCCTGCTGCCAGGAGGCATTTTCAAGGCAGCTTACACCTACTGCCCGGTATCCCAGGGACCGGCCAGTGGCTGCTCGAAGGACACGGCATGAGGACGTGGGGGGCGTGGAGCAGACAGGCCTCATACCTGGATCTGGCTGCTTCGCTGCTGCAGCTCCTGTAGCTGGCTCTCAGCCTGGGTGGCCTGCTGCTGGGTGACCTCCAGTGTGGCTCTCAGCTGGGCCTGTGGTGCCCACCGGGGGACAAGTAACAAGAGGGGTCCAGGATCGGCTGTGAAGTTCCCCCCTCAGCCAGTCAAAACACCTGCAGATGCTGGGCATCCCCTCCTCATGCCACCCCAGGTGAGGCCAGCACGCAGAGCATCAGCCTTGGTGTGTGCCCCGGGAGAATTGGGTCAGAGTCCCAGGGAGGCCTGGACAAGGCCCCTTCCCCACCCGGAGCAGGGTGGTGCAGAGGCCTTGGGCTGAAGACGAGCAACCTGGGGCGGAGTAGCCCCCCACTACCCCCAGTCAATAAATGGGAGCTTACGCGGCCTTGAGGGGAAGGGGCGACGACCCAAAGCACCGAAGTTTTTTGACAGGTGGGCAGTGCACCGCAGGTATGAGTTGGGTTCTTCCAAATGCCTGGCCAGTCCTCAGGCCCAGCTTTGGACATGAGGGGGAAGGGGGCACCCCTATTTGGTTGTGACCTGTCTGGTCTCCTCGAGGATCAAAATGCTATACTCTCGTAGTTCAGGACTGCGCATCTGCTAGGATTTGGTTCCCTGTACCAGGTCAAGAGCCTGTCTTGATTCTTCTTGTCCCAGCAACACTTTGATGGAAGGACTGATATTATCCCCGATTCACAGGTCAGAGAAGTTGACAACTTGGTCAAAGTAATCAGGTCTTCCTAAGTGCAACACTTGTGCCTCTGTTCAGGCCTCACCGCCTCCGGCACGGTAAAACATGCTGAACTAGGAGGGGGCAGGGCAGACTTTTCTGGTTCACCCTGACTCTCCCCCAAGGGCACACATCCAGCCCCTCACACCCCAGCGTCACTTCCCCTCTCCCTAGCCAAATTCTAGCTCCTGCAGTGCATCTGCCGCTGGCTGTACCACCTGTTCCCCCCTCTCTCCCTGTTGCTGCCCTCCACTGCAAACTTCGATGCTTAGTGCAAGGTCTTTGGTCCCACAAGCAGTAACACCCTGTCCTTACTCTGTGCCTTCAGCAGCCACAGGGATTATCCTCCACATTCTGGCTCTGGGCTCCTTGACCTCCTCATTCCATCTCGGCCACTCACCCCTGTAACTTCACCCTGGACCCGTCACCAGCTCTAACATCTCTATTCCAAGCATCTGTTTTCTGACCACCACCTCCTTTCAAACCAGAATAAAAACAGGACCAAGCGAAGCTGCTGAAGCTGCCAGCCCCGCCCGGGCGCAGAGAGCAGGGCGGGGTCCCCCGAGGGTCACCTCGCGCTCTCGGCGCTCGGCGTCCAGCAGCGTCCGCTCGTGGAGGCGACACTCGCGCACGGTGCACACGCTGCACACGCAGAGGCCCTCGGTGCGGCAGAAAAGCTCGAGCGGCCTCCCGTGCCGGGGGCAGCACGCGCCGGGGCCGGGTTCGGGCGCCGGCCGGACGCGCAGATCCTCCAGCACGCCGCTCAGAGCCACGTTGCGGCGCAGCTCGGCGCTGTCGGGGAAGGGCTCCCGGCACTCGGGGCACACCTTCTCGCTGCGGCCCAACCAGTCCTGGATACAGGCCCTGCAGAAGTTGTGGCCGCAGAAAAGCGTCACCGGGTCCCGGTAGAGGCCCAGGCAGATGGCACAGGTCAGCCTGTCCTCCAGCCACGGCGCGGCCATGGCGGCGGCGGGCGGCCCCAGACGCACGGGCGGAAGGCCGGGGCCTCTTAAAGGGACCGCCGGCGCCCGGGTGTAGGTGCGGCGGGCGGAGCCAGGACCCGCCTGGGAAGACGAACTTGACAGCCCTTCTTCCGCCCCGACCAGCCGCCACTCCCAGTGCGCTCGCTCCACCCTGCGCCGACGGCTGCGGGATTGGCTTCCCATTCCGGTGCTCGGCCCCTGTCAACTCCGAGCCACCCCTGCCTGCCTTTTACCACCCGAAACTGGGAGTTGGGGTCCAGCTCTCTCTGGGACCTCCATCCTGCTTCCCTAGATCCTCAGTCCAGCAGCTCCCGTGCCGGGAATCTGGACACAAGAGGCTTGGGAAACCCATCGGGCCTCCTGGCCTCCTCCTGGCTGAGGGCCACCACCAGAACCTCTTCTGAGCCCCTAATCTGAAAATCTCATGCAAATACTACTAACAACAACAAGGGCTGTTGTTATCTACCTCCCAGGGGTTTTGGCGATTAAATGGAACAGGACCGCACATGGGAATGCCTGGCAATGAGCATGGGGCACACAGCTAGTGCTCATTAAATGCTCTCTCCTGACCCGAGGGGCCCTGCTGCACTTTTTCCTTGAGCTGAATTTCAGGCACTTGCCGGATTAGGGTGTCTCCCTTCTCTAGGTTATGCCTAATTTCGGTTCTTTTAAAGCAAACAGTGAGGTGGAAATTTCTGGTTACCAAGAGACAGAGACCAAAAAACAGTGGTTCCTTCCTACCCCCTTTAATGGAAACTAAAGCAAGCTTAACCTGCACTTGGAAGCCCCTCTGGGTGTCAGCCCTCTGCTGGGGAGAGTTCCTTGTCTGCAGGTCCCAACTGTTCTGGAACCTCACTTTTTAGAGAGGTGGTTCCCCTGCAGCTGAGCACAGAAGGATCCTGACTGCTAACCCACCTGCCCTGGGGGCAGTGTGTGCTGGGCCAGCGTGAGCTGGAGGAGGGTTAACTCTTTCTTTCCAAAGGAGCTGGCCTAATTTTGAGGCGGGGCGTCCTCTCCCTTTGATACAGCAAGCGTATTGTCTTCTGGGTGACAGTATGTGAAGTTTCTCTTGCTGGACAAGGTGCATTGATCTCCTGACTGGCTACTAGGCAGTCTCTGCCTTTAGAGAGGAGAAATACCCTAACCATCCAGCAAGCACTCGGGAGCTTTCTGGGTCCTGAGCAGGGGGCGTGCCCAGAGATCTCTGAGACCTGCCTTTGCCCCACCTGACAAGGCTTCTTATTCAAAGCATCTGGAGGCCAGGAGCCTGTGAACAGCCGGCAAGGGGCCAATGCCCAGGGCTGGCAAATTTCTTTCAAGAGGCCTGTGGGAGCAGCCAGGGTCCCCTGCCTGCTTTTCTTCTGCACCCGTCTTCAGCCAGTGGATCGCAGGGCCTCTGACACCCTCAGGAAACAGAGGTGAGGGGTCACCTCCTGGGGTGGGAGGCAGCCTTCTTCCCACCCATAAAGCAAGAGTCCCACCAGGGGGCATTCTGGCTGCTCCCAGAACACAGACCCAGACCAGCTACAGCAAAAATCAATATATTCATACCCCCAACTCCCCAGCCTTCTTCACTGGGCCTGCTGGGAGGGCAGCAGAGGGGCTGCCTCAGGCAGGCCGGAGAACCCCAATGCTTGCCCCCCTTGGCACTGTGTCTCTATTGCTCCCGCCTGTGGAGCCTGACAGGGTGGCCTGAGAGGCCCAGTCCACTCTCTGAGGGGGGTGGCACTCCAGCCACTCAGTAGATGCCATAGGTGGGTTCGTGACTGTCTCTGTACCGGTCCAGGTAGCGCAGGGGCTGCCGGTGGGGGAAGCGCTTCTGCTTAGGGTGATAAGGGGGCGGCCGCATAAACTCAAACACAGGCTCTCGCATGTCTGCAAGAAGAGTGAAGGGGCGTGTGTGTGGACTGCTGCTGGCCTGAGCCCCTCTCGCGTCTGCCAGGTGGGACTGCCCAGGCTGGCACCACCCAGCCAGCCCACCCCAGGAGTGGCACGCCTGCTGGTGGCCCTCTCCTGACAGGCGCTCCTCCTGGCAAGTCAGGAGAGGTCTGTGAGCTCAGGCCAGCCGCCCCCTCCTCCAGCCCACTCTGCCCTTACCCAGGAGCTGGTGGAAGATGTGGGTGACCGAGTCATCCCAGCGGCACTGGAAGAAGGCCAGGCCAGCTGGAGTCATGGCATCTTGGTGTTTCTTGTAGAAATCAAAAGTGTGGAAGGTCCGCTGGGCAAGCTGGTAGCTGGAGGAAGAGCGGAGCATTAGAGAGTGGGGAAGGGGGCACCAGAGCCCCACAGGCAATGCTGAGAAGCCCCTTAGGGTCTGCCTAGCACAGCTCAAGTTACGAGAGAGAACTGAGAAAGACTGACCACTGCTGGGAAGCTGGCCTGAGGCTGGGGGTAGCTGTGTGTGGGGGAGGGGCACAGATTACCAGGGTGAGGGCCGGGTGTCCCCAGAGAAGTCGATTGGCTTGTCCTGCTTGAAGAGCAGAAAGGCAAAGCGGTGGAAGCCGGAGCCTCGGGCAGGGAAGGGGGGCAGGTAGGGACACGTCTCCTGTCCTTCAGCCACCCTGTTGCCTGGGATGTTGGTTCTGGTGGGAGAAAAAGCATCTGTTAATTACCACTCGCGGGAGGTGGCAGCAGGAACATCCCCACCCGTGTGCTCCCTAGAGACTGATATACCTCCCCGGGAAGAGAGACCCTAAAATGATCTCTATTGTACAATCAAGTAGGAAGTAGAGCTCTGTAAACCCTCGGATGGACTGCAAACTTGTGGAGGGAACAGTAGGGGCTCAGAGGCCGACAAGGGCCCCAGGAACTGTCAAGATGAGAGCTAGGTCAAGCAGCCCGTTGACTGGCCCTGGGGAGCTGTGGGGATGCCACAGCCGTGCACGCTGGAGAGCCATGCGACCTTGGGCTGTTTCTCTCCCGGTTTCCCAAAGCCTCTAGGTTTGTCAGGGAGTGTTTGCCCAGCCTGGCACTGGGATGGCCGCTGTACCTGCCCCAGGTACAACTCCCCAGAGGGTCCTGTTACACAGGCAGTTACAACTCCCCAGAGGGTCCTGTTACAACTGCAGTTGAATAAAAATGCCTGACCTCCTCCCCTTGGCCTGGTGCTCAGAACCAAAGGCCACCGAGAAAACAAGAGGTAGCCCACAGGTACCAGAGGCCTCTCCTGGACTCCTTTCCCATTTGATTGTCACAGAGCCCCTCAGGGTGGCTAAGGCACGTGGTGGCATCATCCTCGTTTTACAGGTAAGGAAAGGAGTTCAGGGAGACCAGGAGGCCTGTGGGAGAGGCCAAGGCCCACTGCTGCCTGCTTTCCTTCTGCACCTGTCTTCAGCCACTGGATCACAGGGCCCCTGACACCCTCAGGAAGCAGAGGTGACGAACCACCTCCAGGGATGGGAGATGGTGGTTAGTCCATGGTGGAGCCACGACTGAAATTCAGGTGCAGATCTTTCCAGGGTGCCAGGGCCTCCTGGAACGCTTCCGACCCATTCCCCTACCCCAGGTACTCACACCAGCCAGTGCAAATACTCGGCATCCGGTTCCAGCAGGTGTCCATCTGCACATAAACACACCCCACTGACTGCGGGAACTGCCGCCCCTTCCCACCTCCTCCCTTGGAAGGAGCTGGGGCTGGAGCTTTCCATCTGGCCCCTCCCCCAGCTCCCCAGGGCCCTGGCTCCCGGGAGGTGAAGGAGGCAGGAGTCCCAGTGAGCCCCAGACACCTACCCAAGTTGGTGAGCAGCAGTGTCCACATGGAGCCCTCGTCTGCCTTATAGGTCACCTCCGGGGCCTGGGCAGCCTGGTGGGGAAAGAACGATGGAGCTGTCACCCCATCAGGGATGGACAAGCTGTTCTAAACAGACCTTCGTTCTGGAGGTCAGGAGCCTGAGAAACCTTGGAGAAAGAAGAGTCCATTCTGAAACAAATGCCCGTGACAGCCCCTTGAGAGGCAGGTGGGCAAACAGAGACTTATAGACTTATAGAACTCTACAGAGTTGACTATCCCGAGATCTGAACCACAAGAAGGCCAAGGACCAGGGGCTAGGAGGGCACTCTGAAGACAGAGGGTCAGTCACAGCAGTATGCCAAGATGCGGCTTCTTTTCCTTTCACTTTACATCCTCTTCTTTGTAATTACTGTATCATGGTGTTGTTTATCAGGAAATCAAAAAGAGGAGACAGAGAACAAGAAGACCCCAGATCAGTCTACACAGATGCCGTGCTTGTGTCCTTAACCACCATAAAAACTGCCTCTATAAATGCTTTCAAAAAGGAGTTGTTGTCTGTGGCCCCATGGTGGGATATGTCTGTGTACACAGGGTGGGGAGGGGCACAGGCCAGCAGTTACCTCAGTTGGAGTGACCTCATTGCCGTAGTACACAGGCACCAAGTCGTCCTCGCCTATAGCGTAGGCCACATGCAGGGGGACTCGGGGCACGAAGGTGGCCCCGTGGAACAGGTCTCGATAGAGGCCGTAGTGTTCAGCCAGACGCTGCTTGTGGTAGGGGCCACAGGTCCTCTCCCACTCAGCCCTCACTGCCTCCAGTGGGATGCGTGCTGGGAAGGAATGATGCCAGCTGGGATTTAGGGTCAGGGCAGGGACACACCCAGGACCCTCTCCCCTGGGAAGGCTTACCTGTGCGGAGGCGAGCGGCCCGTTCCTCCTCCACATTGGCCCGCAGTGCCTGGAGGACCCGCTTCCGCTCCAACAGCTGTTGGGTCCGGCAGACCTTAGGTGCAGGCAACCCAATGTCAATCTTGTCTTTGGGATCTGGGGAGGGAAGGGGTATTAGAGAAAGTAGGATCAGGTCTTGGTTAAGCTGCCTGTCCATACCTTTCCTTTCACTGGGCAAGCTCTGCTGCTAAAGCTTACCATTTAATTCACAAAACTAAAATATACTGTGTAGTCAGCTTCACAGACATGAACAGGGTCCAGTTGCTAAGCAAATTGGATACAACTTGAGACTGATCCCTAAACCAGGTTACATCATCTGTCTCGGTCATGGGAAATCGAGGCGGATGGCCATCCCAATTATACTTGGGATCACCTTCAAGCCTGTTCACAGCTGGCCATGGACTCGCACCTGTGTACCTGGCAGAATTCAGAGCTGAAGCTAGAAGGAAAGAAGCACTTCTCACACTTAATGCACAAAACCACACAAGTCACCTGGGAAACTTGTTTAAATTCAGATTCTGAATCAGCAAGTTAGCGTGGGGCCTGAGACTCTGCATTCCTAACAAGCTCCTAGGTAATGCCCATGCTGCTGTTCCCAGAACACACTCTGAGGAGCAAGACCCTAGAAAACTTTCAATCCAGCACCCTTTCCCATTTACGTTAGACTATGACAATAAGAAACAGACACTGAGCCCACATCAAGAGTGACATTAGTCTAAGAATTCCGATTAACTGTATCCTTTAATCCTCACAACGATCTTGTGACACAGACACAATCGTTTTATTTTATAGTTGAGGAAACTGAACCTCAGGGAAGTCACTCCCAAGAGACTGACTTGGGTTTAAGTAAGATTCCACACGTGTGCCCTTAACCATCATTAAAATGCCTTTATAAACGCTTTCCAAAGAACAAACTCCTTAAGTGTAGTCAGTCTCTCAGGAGCAGGGTCCCTGAGTCACCTTGCCCAGGGCTTTCAATTTAATTCAGCAAAGTATTGCACACTTACGTGCCAAGCACTGTGCGGGTGCAAGGATCCAATGGTGGTCAAGACAGGCAGGATCCCCACCCTTAGGGAGCTCATGAACTGGGAGGGAGGCAGCGAAAAGAGTCAGGATACGGTGTGGCCAAGGCTACATGAACAGTATTGTAGGAGCAGAGAGGGGCGTTCTAACCCGGAACTGGGCCGTGGGCAGCTGGTCAGGAAAGGGCTTTAGGTGTAGAAATATCCAAGGTGGAACTCTAATAATGAGAGAAGGGAATGTTCCAAAGTAGGGGGACCGAAAGGTGTGAAAAATCCTGGTGGGACTAAATCGCCACCGGTGCGCACGGGACCGCTGGCAGGCCCCCTCCCCCAAGCTCGGGGAGGACGCCGGCGGGGCGCCCCCGAGTCCCAAGGCGACGGGGTCACCGCCCAGCTCCGGTCGCCCCGCACCTGACTCCTCTCCGAAATGCTCCCGGTAGGTCCGCCACCAGTGCGGGTCCCGAGCCTCCTGCTCCGCCCGGCGCCGGTAGCGGTCGAAGCTGCGGTACTTCTTCAGCCGCTCCAGGTTGCTCACGTCGATGACCTCGTTGGGCATGGGCCCCAGAGGAGCGGTCCGGCGGCTCAGGGCGGCTGCGGGCAGAGAGCGGGACGTCAGGCCGGCCCCGGCCCGGCCCCACGGAGGTCGGGGGCGGGAGCTGTCTTGATCCCCAGGGTTCGGCTATACGGAGACCTCCAAGAGCCCTCACCTGAGGTGCTGAAGCCCCGCCACCTCCGACTCCCGTACAACGCGACTCGCCACCAGGTCGCCGCCATCTTCCCCCAAGCCGCCGTCGCCGCCGCGGCTCCTAAGACCTGAAAGAGGCGGCCGCAGCAGCGCCTGAGCGCACGGCGGAAGCCCCGCCCTCAGGCCCCGCCCCAGCATCATAGGAGCCACGCCCCCTCCTAGGCCCAGCAGTCTTACTTCCTGGGATCCGCGAGCTCCTCCCTCCGGGAGGTGGCTGCGGACCTCGAGCGCCCTGGCTCCGGAAGTGACCGGTGAACGGCGAGGCGGAGCTGCGAGCGGTCCGGACCCCTTCCCGCGTCCAGCCACCAGGGGGCGGCACAGACTGGGGACGGTCGGCCGGGCCCGCAGCCACCTCGGCTCAACGAGGTAGGCGCTTTGCGGGGCTCTGGGTGCTGCTCTCTCTCAAGGGTCACCCAGTCCCTGAAGGCGGCATCCTGAGCACCCCCGGCAGCACGGGCAGGGGAAGGGGTTGCGAGCAGGGATTCAGGAGTCCTCCTACTTGGGTTCAGATTCCAGATTGTGACCTTGCTGTCGCCCTTGCAGTTTCCTCATTTGGAAAAAAAAAAGCACGTAGTAATAGTGCTTACCTCATAGGATTGTTAGAAGGATTAAATGTTAATTAACATATATAAAGCACTTAACTGTGGGATATGTGTTAGCTTTTGATCACCTCCAAGTTTTTGCCTTTGCCTAAACCTTTTCAGGGTTGTGTTGTTCTTGGGATTCAGTTCTAACAAGATGAAACTTGGTACCCCTGGTGATCTGGACCCGCTTCTGCTCTGGTCCCTCTGTCCTGGAATTCAAGCTTCTGTGACACCAACCTTTTGTAACCCAGCAAAGGGCTCTTGTGCCTGTGATGCAGAAAGCCAGACTCTTGACACTGGATTTGCAGCAGAGTAGATTTATTGCAGGACACCAAGCAAGGGAGTGGGAGACAAACCTCAGATCCACCCCAACTTGGTCTTTGAGTTTTGTTTTGTGGGGGTTTTTTTAGGGGAGGAAAAAGGAAGCTGGGGTTAATCATCATTTTTTGACATTTTTTTTAATATGGACCACTTTTAAAGTCTTTATTGAATTTGTTACAATATTGCTTCTGTTTTATGTTTTGGTTTTTGACTGCAAGGCATTTGGGATCTTAGCTCCCTGACCAGGGATGGAACCTGCACCCCCTGCATTGAAAGGCGAAGTCTTAACCACTGGACCACCAGGGAAGTCCCTACATTTCTTTTTTTTTAATTTTTATTTATTTTTTATTTTTTAATTTTTTAGTCCCTACATTTCTTAATCAAAGTTTTGGGAATCAGGATGTTTCTGGTTTACGACTCTCTGGCCAGGTAGTCCATGGCTTGGGGGGGTCTGTGAGCTCATCTTGCCCTGGAGAAACGGCCTGAGTTTGCACATGAATGGAGATATCTATAATAATAGCAATTTTAGTACATTAACGATGTTATCAACAGCAGCAGTTTTAGTCATCTGACTCTGGTTGATTACTGTTCAGTTAGCACAGGATTGAGATCAGAGGGGATAAGAAAGGGAATAAAGTTTTGGATAGAGAGATTAATCATAAACTCGGTAAGGGAACATGGTTTTACAGGGACTCGGTTTCACATTTTTCACTTACTTAGCACTTTTCTCCCCCTGGCACCGGACCTTTGCACATGCTGTTACTTCTGCCTTGCACTCCTTACCTTTCCCCCTGTTGCTTGGCTACCTCCTAGACCCCGTGAAGTGGTCCCTCCAGGAAGCCTTCCCTGATGTCTCAACCAGGGCTGCTGACCCATTCAGTTGCTCTGGTACTAGCAGAAGCTTGACCCTCACATTCACACTGAAATGGCATGGGGGGGCGGGGTCTCTTAATTCAGCAGGAAGTGGCCACACCTTGAATTTGGTTTTCATAAACAGCAACCAAACAGCTAAACTCACTGTCACTGCCAACTCACCCATCAGTGCACAGCTACTGTATGTTAAGGCCCGTAAGACCCAGTCATTGCTTATTTTTAATATTTTCATTTTTATTCAGATGTTACTTATTTTATTATTTTGGGCGCGCCGTGTGGCATGTGGGATCTTAGTTCCCCGACCGACCGCCGACCGGGGATCTAACTCGTACCCCCTGCAGTGGAAGCGCAGAGTCTTAACCACTGGACCCCCCAGGGAAGTTCCTGGAGGCACTGCTTATTAATTTGTGAAATTCTGCTGATGGAAGAGCAGAGCTGAAGGTTGTGAGCAGACCGGGACTGTGCCTCAGGCCGGGAGGAACACAGGGCTCCTGTATGCTTAATGTCCTGCGCGTGTTTGAATCTGGCCTCCTTTGCTATTTTATCTTCTCCTTTTGTTTCTGAATCCTCTTCTACATGCCTCTAAACCCACCCCCACCCCAGCCTGCCCCTCTAGAGATGAAGACTCATGGGACCTCCGGGGCAGAGGCACAGGGCTTGCTAGTCAATCAGATGACTGTTATTTGTCCATTATTCCTTACTTTTGAAAAACACTCCTGTTCTCTCGCTGCCCTAGAACCCTCTAAGAATGGGGCTTGCTGGGATTTTAACTGTTTGAAAGGCCTAGCAGGGATTCCCACTGGTATCAACTTGAGGCAAATAATAAACATGAATAACTCTTGAAACTGGAAGTATTAGCCCAGCCAGTGTCTTTGATCATCATTACTTTCCACCAATATTTCTCTTTCTACAGGGAACATCTGGGTTTATGACCTTGAGGAGTTGTTTATAATTTTGAAGGGAAAAAGAAAGATCAGCAGATACGTTAACACTCACTCCTGTGTGCAGCCGTCTCCCACCTGTGGCGTGGGAGAACGTTAATGAAAAGGGGGTGTGTAAGCCACCTGCCACACCTCAACGCCAGTGACAGGGATCCAGAGCAGTTACAGGCACTGGGTAACGTGTCACCGTAACTAAGTGCCCGTGGAAAGTGTCTACTTGGCTGTTCCATGGGCACCCAGTTGCCCAAGACAGCAACCTGGGGGTCGTCCTCGACACGTCTTTCTTCCTGACCCTGCCTGCACATCAGGCACCAGGTCCCTCAGTGCCACGCCCGGTGCTGTGCTGTCCCGGCTCCCCTATACCACGGCAGACAGCCTTCTGCCCGCTTCCCTGCCCCCACTCTCGCCCCACTCTGGTTGGTCTGTTCTCCACCCAAAGCCACAGTACTTTTTCTAAAACACAAAGATGGTTCCACCCTGTTTAAAACCCTTCAATGGGGCTTTCCTGGTGGCGCAGTGGTTGAGAGTCCGCCTGCCGATGCAGGCGACACGGGTTCCTGCCCCGGTCCGGGAAGATCGCACGTGCCGCGGAGCGGCTGGGCCCGTGAGCTATGGCCGCTGAGCCCGTGCATCCAGAGCCTGTGCTCCGCAACGGGAGAGGCCACAACAGTGAGAGGCCCGCGTACCGCAAAAACAAACAAACAAACAAACAAAACAACAAACCCTTCAATGAATACCCATTGCCCTGAAGATAAAAATTCAAACTTTAACAAGGTAAACAGAGCCTCCTCGACCTGCCCCCTAATTCTAAACTCATTCCTGTTGGGTCTCCCTGCACCCTCCCTCAATATGTGCCTGTGATTGCCCACATATCTGTCAGGTGACTGCTTAAATGCCAGCTGCTCCCAGGCTGGGCCCAACCTCAGACCCACCTCCGGCCCTTCACACAGGTGGGAATTCGTTAAGTGTGTGTTGAGAGGATTGAATTCCAAGCTTCGACAAGGCTTCTAATGGGACGCGAATGCTTCCCTCCTCTGTGTGGGCACCACCCCACGCAGCGGCTCGGGGATCTTCTACTTCACAGAAGCACCGTGTGCAGCAGCTTTTCTAGAAGGAGCCAGCAGTGATGTGGCTGAGCGCCTGGGGCTTTGGAATCTGTCCAAGCAGAACTCAAATCCAGGTTCTGCTGTTTGCTGCGTCACCTTCGGCAGATTATTGAACCTCTGAGTCTCAGTCCCTTCATCTGCGAAGTAGGGGTGATAATCACACCCTTCTCCTGCTTGTGGTCCAGCCAGGGGAGTATGGGGCTGGAGAGTTATTACAGCAAATAACAGCCCTACAGAGCAAACATTTCCAAGAAATAGGTTCAAACTCTCATGAGCCATGGCAGATTCTAAGAATCCAATCATTAAGAATACTGCAATTTAGGGAATTCCCTGGCGGTCCAGTGGTTAGGACTCTGAGCGTTCACTGCTGAGGGCCCGGGTTCAATCCCTGGTTGGGGAACTAAGATCCCACAAGCCTCACGGCCAAAAAAAAAAAAGAAGAACATAGCAATTTAGTGGGTCCAAGAGGCTGTATATAAATGAGCTCCCTCTGCAAGCTGCTCTAAAAGAGCAGAGATGCACCTGTGCCCGCTCACACCCCACTCGGCACTACCCTCTCCTCCACCACCTTCCTGCTCCCCAGACGGTCCCCTCTGATGGGAGGTGAGAGAAGCCGCTCTAGAGGTTAATTGTGATTTTATTAGTTGAGTCCTTGGGTCTGCAGGAAACAACTACCAATCCTCCCACCCCTCTCCTGGCACCCCTCTGGCCGGCCTTGGCCCTCTGCCCACACGTGGAGAAGGGCGGAGCCCCCCACCTGGGACAGCAGCCGGGGTGCGGCCCCTCATGGTCCTCGGCGCTCTGTATCCTCCAAGGCAGGGGCTCTTGCTCTGTCATCTTTGTTCCCACTGGCCGGGGTTTTGTGGCAAGTGAACAGCATGGAGAAAAGCCTTCTGTCCCTCCCCACACCCCACTGTCACCCGCAGCCCCCTCTTTGCCTCTGCGGAGCGCATTAGAAGACGCCGATGAGGCCAGCGTCTGTGCTGGTGAGTCCGCTGCCGCGGCAGCTGGGAACAAGGCGGGGGCTTTGTGTGCCAGCTTGGGAGCAGGAAGGGCTGGCTGAGTCCCAAGGGCAGGTCAGTCTGTGAGGTAAAAGCCTCCGGGCACAGCGCCCTTCCTGCCCCTGCAGCACCTCCCACTCCCTTGGCCAGGAGGCTAGAAGGCTCTTGAAAATTTGCGGCCTGACTCTATGTCCCCATCAGGGAGGAGACCCGGCGCTCCCTCTGCTGGCCTCTCAGGCAGGGAGGGCAGCAGACTCCTTGTGGCAA